GCTTTAATTTGCAACGAAAAGTCTGGCATATTTATGCCTCCTTTAATGTTTTTACCAATTAAAGTTTTTCTTTTTATTTTTTCTTTCTTACCGTTCCAGAGAAAATTATACGCCAACTTATTAACCCGTAAAATAACATCATAAAAACGACATTGTTAATTTTGCTAATTCCACTTTGGTTACAGAAACGAATCAAGTGCAAACCAAAGCTAATATTTTATTTGATCGAGTGGCATACGACAGGTTCTGACGTGTTGAAATAATAAAACGCATTATGATATTGAAAATGTTATCATCATATTTTCTTATCAGAGCTTATATACGCAATACGATAAATCTAGTTTTGAAATTATAGAGCAATTGATAACTACGGCGTACATTGCCCGTAACCAAAGAAAGACTAGGCCTATTCTTTGCTGTATATAACCTAGGAGGCGCTATCATCTTTACGTTTAAATACACACGGTATGGTACATCGAAATAATATTTAAACCTTTACTATAGGACTTATTCATGTTTTCATTTAACATAAAGTGATACGTCGTAGCCTGCCTGATAAATATTAGCAAAGCTAAATTGCCTTCCCCCATGACAAACTCAAACGGTGTCTTAAATAGACTTTGAACTATTGCACACTGCACCACATTGTAAGGCAAACGAAAAAAGACATATGGTATGTTTTGATGGCGTAAAACATATCTAATTGACGTTATTGAAAGAAAGGAAATATCTTCACAATCAATATTCTAAACTTACTAAACAAACATATTATCTTTAATTAATTTCTGCATATACACATGGAATTCCTCTTATTTATAATCAAGTTGATAATTATCTAAATTGAATTCTTATTGAATCACATTTATTGGCAGGGACATCTGTTAGGTTCCACAATGTATCTCTTAAAGATAAAGCAAATGTTGTAAGCTGTGTTTATAAGCAGTGGTCCGTGTACATTCTCTGAAACAGAACACAGTCACCATGAATGTTAGGTTGCTGGTCCTCGCAACGGCGATAGTGCTTTGCAGCGCTGAACCACGAAAATACGATGGGTAAGTAGAATCTTCCGATATGCATATCTCTACCGGTTTAACTTTGTTGTTAGCCTATATCTATAACGTTATGTTATAGATATATATATATATAACTCCTCAACACATACACATATATGTATATTTAATTTTGAACACTAAAGAGAAATATGTAGGTGTGGTTTCCCAACCCAGACTCCTGGGACCTTCTGTTGTATATGCAGACGCCTTAACAAACTGGGCCACTGAGGCTTCGTTGGGATTTCGAATTAAAATTTCACATTCTTTTGCACATGTGTGGAACAACGCTAGTTTCCGACAATAGCATTCAGGTCATATGATGCATTACCGCATTATATTTGTTTATATATGTGACTAACAATATATTTAAAATAATTTTTTTTTTTATAGATATAAGCTACTTCGTATCACCCCGACAAATGAAAATGAGATCCAAATGCTAACAAAACTGAAATCAGTTATTCAAGATAAGGTACAATATTTTAAAATGACATTGACTTTGTTACAGGCATTATTTAATAAATATTATTTAAACGTTAAAACGATTAACAATCTTAACATTATAGTATCTGGTATTAGCATTTTAATCTTACCATCGATGTTTTCAATTTATAAGTAAATTCCGTTTAATATTTATCATATTTATATTTGTTATTCAACGTATCTTCATAATATCAGCGAATTCACCACTTACAAGGCTATTTAAACCCGAAAAGAATGAAACATGATTAATGGTGAAATACCAACGGCGCTAGCCCATGTCAGCCTAAAACGCTGCCTAATGAGTTAACACAAGGCGTTATCCCAATGCATACATTTCGTTTCAGTATAATAATGTACCATATTCGAAAAAACGCCCCGGGGCGTTTGTTGTTAAGAATTACTTTTTAAGGGGAGTTTATTTGATAGAGGCGTTCATTCGATGGAGGCGTTTATTTATTTATTTTTTTTTAGTGTAAAATGGATAGGTATACTCAAATAAACGTCCACGGTAAATGCGGAACTACAACACACAATTACCGTGAAAATGTGTTATTGCGTGATCGTAAAGGTACGGTATTATGTGTTATTGCGTGATCGTAAAGGTACGGTATTATGTGTTATTGCGTGATCGTAAAGGTACGGTATTATGTGTTATTGCGTGATCGTAAAGGTACGGTATTATGTGTTATTGCGTGACCGTAAAGGTACGGTATTATGTGTTATTGCGTGATCGTAAAGGTACGGTATTATGTGTTATTGCGTGATCGTAAAGGTACGGTATTATGTGTTATTGCGTGATCGTAAATGTACGGTATTGATTCCAACCAGGTTAGAAAAAATGTAATTCTACTGGAGTAGAACATTAATAGAATGTGTTAAGAATTATGTTGCTTCCATTATATATTTGTTTACAGTCATTTAAGGTGGCGTTATTTGAAGAAAGCAATAACGGTCGGGTCTAGGGAGGCGTTTATTGCAAATAAGGCTCTAGAGAGGCGTTTATTCGAGGAGAGGGAGAAGGAGGAGTTTATTCAAAGCGGGGCATTTATTCGAATAAATACGGTATTTTCAAATTTATCAGGCTTTAATTTTACA